AATTTCTACCCATTATCTGATTTTTTTTTTTTTTCATTGTGAGCATCCATCCATTTGTGGCGGGCGTGTTCCCAGACTGAGCAGGCATTGTCCCTGGAGAGCACAACTTGAGAACCCCTACTCTGGAGCATGAAGTGTAAACTCTTTGGCATGACCAATGCGATGCTTCCAGATCTGACCCCATCTTATCGTCTAGCTTCATTTATAGCCACTGCACCCCCCACCCCCAGGGCCAAGACTTGGAATTCGCTAAATGTTTGCTGTCTTGTGATTTTACAAATACCATTCTTCTACTCCACTCCCCCTCAACCGCCGCCCCGTTGATGACCAGATAACCTACTACTCATTCCTCAAGACACCAGCCAAGGACTCTTCCTTCAGGTGCCTTTCTTCACCTCTCTGGGTCTCTATCTCCCCAAGGTCTTGCTCCGGACTGATGACTGATGACGTCGCGGCTCATTTGTGAGGCTATCTGCCAACTGGCCTGGGAGCTCCCTCAGGTCGCAGTACGCGTTCTTGTTGCCCACCTTTTCTCGAGTTCCCTGGCATTTAGCGTGTGGCTGGTGTGAGGTGGGGACTTGGTGCATATTTGTGGAATGAATGAGTACAATTGCAAAGGAAGTGAAGTCTATTTTTTAGAATCTTCCAGCTCCCTACAGGGGTGCCATCTGTACCTTTTCTGGCACCCCTTCCCCAACCCCATGCACTCTGTAACCTTATGCTGGCCATGTAGAAATCCACCAGGATCTACCATCCTTGCTGGAGCCCCGGCTTCAAGCTTTTCCCTTGCTGTCCTACCGGCCCTTACCCGTCCTGTGTCCCATCCCTCCATGGGCTAGATTTCAGATGAACCGGTGGTTCTCACACTTTAGCATCAAGTTCAAACACCGGTTGCTGGGGCCCAGGCCTCTAGGGTCTGATTCAGTAGGTCTTGGCCGGGGGCTGGGAGCTTGCATTTCTACTAACGTCCCTGGTGATGCTGCTAGACAAAGACCACATTTTGAGAACCAGTGGGATAAATTAGTGTAAAACCAGGAGCAGCAGGTAATGAGGCACAAAGGAACCCTTACTTCATCTTGACTCCGCCCCTTAACTCAGGTTCTGATTCTGGCAGGCACTATCTGGATTTCTTCTATCCCACATCATTTTCCCTCTGCTTTGCTTGGTCCGCCTCCTCCAACTTTCTGATCTTTTCAGATTGTTCTATAGCTTCCTTCACTTTAGCCCAACATTACCATCCCTCCCTTCCTCCTTTCATAAAGCCACCATTTCAGGACAAAGGCTCTCCTGAGCTGTTAGCTCCATTTCATCGCCCCCTTTCCCCTCCCCGCTCCCCCATTCAGTCTTAGCAAGCCCCCCTACCCCAGGAGTGAGTGACCTTTCTAAAGCTTGGCTCCCATTAGGGTCCACTCCCACCTAGCAGGGGTAGCCATTTCCCCTCCCCGGGAGGCTGGTTCTACAAACAACATTAGCATGCTAATGACAGTCACCTGCTGGCCCTGGGAAATCGTGGCGTGCTCCGGCTTCCTCAAGGACAGTGGAAACACTGAAAACAGCACGTTTAAATGCTTCCGTTCATTCATTCACTCAACAAACATTGATTGAGCACCTGCCAGACACTGCGCTGGGCCCGAGGGATCCCCGCAGGACACATGGAACATGGGCCTGTGTTCGTGGGCAGCACCTGAGGGTCCACGATGCCTCTTCATGAAGCGGATCTTTTGCTCCACTCATCAAGGGGGACAGACATTCAAGGAAGAAACTGACCCCTCATGAGTCCTCTTGCCTCAGCCTTCCTGCCCGCCCCGTGCCTGGGCAGGTGATCCGGGACACCAACCCAGTGAGTTTCCAGATCTCTTTGTTGAAATAAACATTATAGGGGCCCCTGGGTGGCTCAGTCGTTAAGGGTCTGCCTTCGGCTCAGGTCATGATCCCAGAGTCCTGGGATCGAGCCCCACATCAGGCTCCTGCTCAGCCGGGAGCCTGCTTCTCCCTCTCCCACTCCCCCTGCTTGTGTTCCCTCTCCAGCTGTCTCTCTCTGTCAAATAAATAAAATCTTAAAAAAAAAAGAAAGAAACATTATAATCCACACCTCTCAGCTATTGGCCCACTGTATTGAGTGAGGCCAAGGTATGTAAAGCCCAGCACACAGTGAGCTAAAACCTCTCTGCACATACACACACCCATGCGGACATACACACACTGACACACACACACACAATGACACAAATACCAACACACACACATATTGCCACACATGCCAACACACAATACTGGCATGCACACCTTTATACACATTCCAACACACACTGAAAATACACTCTGACACACACGCATCAACACAAACACAGACACACACTGAAACAGACACACTGGGCAGACACACATCAACAAACACAAACACAGGAGTAAACACATGCCAACACACATACACACACACACACATCGACACATGCTGAAACACACGGACACGTAGCTGACACACCCATTGACACAGACAAATGCACACCTACTCACACATCAGTACCAACCCACAGCCCACGGAAACCGGGATGCCCAGAACCCACAACGGCTTGCAGCAGGCAGCAGGTCTTAGAGGGGCCAAGGGGTTGCAGGAGACTTGAATTACATACTTGGTTCCAGTCTGGAGGTCCAGATTTTTGGAGGAGGGGGCCTCCCAGGTTCTGAGGGTCCCTAGGGACAGGTGGGTGGATTGGGTCACCTGGGCGGGGCACCAAGGATTTTGAGCTAAGGTACCCCCTGGGGGTGCTGAAATGTACCGAGCTTTGGTCAGCACGGAGCGCTAAGGTGGGGGGCGGGGGGGGGGGTTGGCAGGGGGGGGGGGGCGGGCAGTACGCCAGAGAGCAGGCAGGATTCCCGGGAAGCCCAGCTGCACCAGGCCCTCCTCCAGGCTCCACTTCCCCATGCTCTGGATATCAGCTCTCCCCTCTGGCTTCCAGATGCACCCCTCTCCTCCCGCCACCACCCAAGTCCCATGTCCAGATCATTTAGTAACCTCGGGCCCTTCTCCGTCCACCACACCCCAGCCTTTGCCACCAGCCTTTGCCAGGGAAGACCTGTCTCCCTCCCAGACACCCAGCCGGGAAGCGGCCAGTCACCTCTGACTCCCCGCCCCCATCCGGTCTGGGCCCAGCCTTACAGCTGTTCCTCATATACAGCGCTGGTCCCGCGTGTCGCTGCCACCCAATCCAGGGCCCGGCACCTCCCCCAGGCCCTGCTCCAGCACCCTGGCGGGCCTCGGAGACAACAGCCACCCCTCTTCCCTGCCGTCACCATCTGCCCCGAGGGCCCGCGCTGTCTCCTGAACTCCCCTGTACTGGTCCCTGATTGTGCCAGGCTCTTCTCTTTTGGCCTCTGCTGGGTCTCTAGCGCAGTGATGGGCACACGGTCGGCACCCTCAATACTTGGCTCGTCACGACTGTCCCGACTGCTACCCCCTCCTTGTGTCTCTTTCTTCTGGACCCGCCCCCCTTCCCCCATCCCAATCCCCTGCCCTCTTGCTCAGGAAACGCTTAAATGGGCGCTTCCTGGACGCCAGACCCCGAACTAAGCACCAGGGATGCATTTTGCGGAGTCCCTGTTCTCAAGGTGCACACCGCACGTAGAGAGCTCCCTGAGACAGTGTGAGAAGCACTGTCCCGGCAGGTAGAACGCAGTACCAGGAAAGCACGACATGTGGCCACCCTCCTCTGCCTTCCCTCCTTCTGCCCAGGCCTGGGCTTCGGCATCGGGTCCCTTCTCCGCTCTCCCTGGTTCCTGTTTTTCTCCTTTCCTCTCTCCCGCCTCCCCCTCTGCCGCTCCCGCCTTTGGGCCGCTGCGGGGCCACCTCCCCTGCCCTATCCGGGCCACCACGCTGTCCCGGCTTTTGCCCGTGGACCTGCCTCCCCCCGTGGTCCCGGGTTCCACTCGAGGGTCTGGGCGCCTCTCCGAGACCAGGGCACCAGCCCTCCCGAGGAGTGGAGCGCAGTGTGCGCCCGCTAGGGCCTCGGGCACGCCAAGTCGGCCGGGGTTCGCTAGTCCCAGGGAGCCAGCAAGGGGCCCCTCCCCGGGAGGGGTGGGGGGCGCCAGGGCTGGAGAGGCGGAGACGTGCGGAGGGCGAGGGAGAGGACCCGCGGCGGCGGCTGGCCAGGAGGAAAAGGAAAGCAGGCTGGCACAGCCTCTGCCTTCGGAGGCTCTCACTGCGCACCGCCGGCCGCCTTCTCCCCGGCTGAGCGAAGGTGAAGGGGAAATCCGGGCGGGACGGAGCCACCGGAGACCAATCCCCGTCACTCCCACATCCCGCTCGACAGAGCTGGGGGTCTTCATCCCCAAGCTCCTCCTCTGAGACTCCCCGGCGACCCAGGCACTAGAAGGGGGTCGTGGTCTGAGCCCCCGCTCACACGCTGAGCTTCTAGGGCTCGGTGGGGAGAGGAGGCGTGGGCTCCGTCTGTATTAAGTACCCAGCGGTGGTGAGCTCGGCTCCACGAAATTACAGCCCACAGCATCCGAGGTTTGGAAACCCCAGGGCAGAAGGGGACCTCGAGTCCACGGGCCTCGGACTCCGCACGTCACAGCTCGGTTGCGGGGTCGCAGTGCGCCCCCCCCAACTGTCCCCTCTCTAAGCTCCCCTGTGGAGCGGCAGGTGCCGCAGCTGCACCCCCCCCCCCCACCTCCGGCCCCAGCAGCACTCCCGGGCCATGGGGGGTGGGAGGAGGTGTAGTGGAGTCTCGAGTCTCCAGCTGCGGGCCCTCCCATCGGAGCACCCTGAGATCTCGGTGGAGAGGAAGAGGGGATTCAGGGGGCTGGGAGGAGGGGGAGGAGGACTGCAGAGCTCAGTCACCAAGCTGTGCGCGGGAGGGGGAGGGGCAGGGGCTCCCTTCCAGCCTCCGGGGTCTGGGGACTCTGGGATGTAAGGCGAGAGCAGGGGGGTGTGACAATTCAGCAGAGGTCGGGACGTACCACGGAGCCCAGTGGCGGGGGGGGCAGAGGACGTGGTCACCGAGGGGAGCCCCCGCCCCCCTTCGCCAAGGCCTACAGCTGAGGTTGCAGGGAGAACTGGAACTGGGCTCGCCGCAGGGGGAAGCGGCGCGTGAAATCCGCCCCCTCCCCGTACCCCACTTCCGAGGGGGTGGGCGATAGAGGGGAGGTTGGGGTTGGAGCAGCGGCGCGGGGGCCCCTCCCTCGCACCTCCCCCCACTGGACTTGGTCGCGCCCGAAGTGTAACACTTTCTCTTTGTCGGAGGAGCTCCGCTGTTTCTTGTGCTGTAGCTCGGGTTGCGGCGGCACCCGTGGCAGCCCTGGCGGACGCAGGAGCGATGGCAGCGACCGATATAGCTCGCCAGGTGGTGAGTGCGGAGCTGGGGTGCCGGCGCCGGGGGCCTGGGAAGGGCGGAGGAGACCCGGCCGCCGCCGCCGCCGCCGCCGCGGCGAGGGCAGCGGGCAGCATCCAGGAGCCAAGGCGCGGCGGGACTTCTGCTCCCGGGATCAGCGGCTCACTCCCCCAGCCTGTCCCCGAGGACGCCGGTGGCGGGCGAGTGGCGGGGGAGGGGGGGGGAGGCTGCTGGCGGAGGCTGCGGGCCGGCAGCTGAACTTGCATTGCCCAAGAGCTGCCTCGCTGCAGCTGCCGCCGCGCCGCTGGGGCGTTGCCGAATGAATGGCCGAACGAGCCGCCGAGCCCTCGGGGTCCCAGGCCTCCTGGTCTCTC